CGACGCCTCTGGTGGTGAGCCTCCACGATTGCTTTAATATAATGTACCAAACCTATTCGATGACGAGGAACCCATTTTGAGACTAATAATGGTTGGAGACGGCTTGAATGGGTAATGAAGTAAAAGCTTTAATATAAGTTTAACATAACAACAAATGTACAACGTTTCGACTAGGTTTTGTCATCATGAACTTAATTTTATAACGCTTGGAGACAGCTTGAATGGGTAATGAAGAAAAAAACTTTAATACAAGTTTAACATAACAGCAAATGTACAACAGTTCAACATGGTTTAGGTACCTGATGATGACCAAACCTTGTACACTTACTGTTTTGTTAAACTTATATTACAGCTTTTCTTCATTACCCATTCAAGCCGTCTCCAACCATTATTAGTACCAAACCGATGTGTATGTGAAATCCTTATATTGTAATAACTTTGATTCCACTCATAGCAATGGGGATTTCAAGACATATAGTTAAGCTTTTACGCTGTGGATGTTTTAGTAAATAACTAAATGCGCGGGCTGGTCCTGTAGTAAAGCTCTGGATTTCGGAGCTAGCGAAAATGGTACGAATCCGTGCGATATCACACATATTCTCGTGCGATATTCTCCACATTTTAAGCTGTTGTGCATAAAAAAGAATGTTATTCAATCCCTTAGCGTAGTGGTGGATGGTAATGTGCAATTGATTGACTACAGCGCTAGAAACAGGGTTTCAATAACTGTGGTGGGAAGAGCACTGATAGTCCATTGTGTAACTTTGTGCTTATAACTACAAACAAACTAAACCCTTTAATCAGTAGCTCAAAATTAAGGACGGCGGTATATAGCTCTTGTACCTTTGCCATAAATCCAAGTATTTAATGACTTCCTTATCATACAAAAAGATATAACTTTCAATGAGTTTACTAGCATATCTTGTTATAGTGGTAGTTGGAGTCAACCATGATACCATTAAAAGCAGATGTTATAATATGCAGCTTGCCATTGAAGGTTATTCTCGTGACGATCAAGAAGCCCTTTAAAAAAATCTTGTGAACTAATTATCGCTTCACCAAAGGCTCGATCAAATATTGAGCGAAACTTAGCCACTTATTTAGGCCAATTCCCTTTAATCCACAGAAACAATTTTTTCTCGGTTATAGCCAGTCAGATACCTATGTAAAGGTTTATCCATGATTTTCATTTCAGAGTCACTTTGACGATTCTTAATCGAACCCTCTCACCGAATATGTTCTTCCTTTCAGCCGTGGAAGCGTTATAATGTGACAGTCAATCCCATTATCCGTTAGTAATTGAGTAGCCCGGAAGTTGGCGGTGGGTGATGTTGACTAGATGCTTTCCCTCTAATCTATCACTGCTATATTAGGGACGACTAGCACAGATAGCTCTCGTGTAGCTTTGCACGAAATTTAAAGCAAGCCAACGACTGGTAGAATTGATTTCTGGATGCGTTGAGGAGTTTTTGTAACAATATTTAATTTTATATAATACGGCAAGGATGTTTTAGAGACTACTTTACATACTATGAAATCACCTGCTTTTATACATATTACGTGAACTTCAAAACTACTAAAACAGGTGCACGATACCATTTTAAAAAACATTTCAATATATATATAGACTGCAGAGATAAATATAATTTGATTGAGTTAATCAAAATTACTAGATTAAAATTGTTAATGTTTTTATTTCTTCTAATTTAAAAAGTGAACATTTTAAGAGTAAGATTTTGTACAGCTGGTGTACATGCTGTGACTTCTTTGTAAAGCCAATGAGCAAAGTTAATTAAGACCGATCAAACTGTTCAGTCATAAATGTCCAACATTTCAATGAGAAGTCACCTAGAATGGCAACATCTATAAGGACACATTTAAGGTCACACTTTAGCAAGTTGGCAAGAAAATACATCTCTTGTAAACATACAGCAAGAAATAATGAAAATTAATGATCATTTTGTACCATAGGTTATAGAAGAATGTAGTTCATTATACTAAAATACCAATTAAGCCACTATTTTTTTCGTTCTTGCACATTCTCACTCCTGTCTTCTGTCCGTCTAAAACTCACTTTCTCATACATGCATATATTTTTCAAAGTAAATCTCTTTCACTCACTCATTAGTTTATTCCTCTTTATAATTCCATTCTATTTTATTCCTTCTCACCCAATGCCACCTTCCCCGCTGGTGTCTCAACCGTATGTCTGGGGGTTTATAACGCTAAAAATTGGGTTTTCATACTCGTGGTGGGAACAACACAGAGGGACGATTGTGTACTTTCGTTTTTGATAACAAACAAAGCCAACCAATTAATCTCTATTATTTATTCTGTACTCAATAAGCTTTTTTTACACACCCAGCTTTTTATCTGTTTTTTCTAACATCCACATTACCCATGCTATTTTCTATTATTTTTATGTTTTCTCTTTCTTTCATTCTAATGCGTATTCTTCTATCACTTTCTTTGAAAAACACTTATTTCTCTATAATTTTTCTTTTTGTTTTTAATGATCTTTCAATACTTACCCTTCTTTTTTTACTCACATTTTTATTTCCCCCCTTCCGCTCCGTTTTTGACACCCAATCTCTCAGTCATACACTATATGATTCTAAATGGCAGCGAAAACACCGATACGAACATCGCTTTTATTAAACATCCGGATTCTTGGCCTAGTTACATTACAAAACTAGCTATTCGGTTATAGTTTAAAGGTTGAGCAAAAACTCGATGATTCCAAGTTCTTCAGAAATGTCCAGAAAGTAGGACGCTAGCGAGGTGGAGAAAACAAAGACACAAAAAACAGTAAGCTATAATGCACCTACCTAATTTAGTATGAAATACCTAAAGTTCTGATAAAAAATATTCTTACAAAATCATATTCTAAGCCTTATTCAGTAAACAAATATACTCCTACAGTTCAAATGATAATATTTCGTGGCTGTGTGCTAAGCTTTGAATTTAAAATTACTGACGCTTGGTACGTTCATCCTGGATTATATTTTATGTGACACATAAGTTAAGCGAACAGATTATGAAGCCTAGGTTTCAGGTATAGTCTTTCCTAATTTTGAATTATACTAAAGGATGGAAAGCCAGTCGTCTACAGAAACACCCACAGAAAAAAAGGCTTTGAAATAAATTGTAGGATTCATTGTCACTGTTATAACAGCGAAAAGTATGGTGCATTTTGAGCGGCATTGCTGCACGAACCTTGGACCTTCTAATAAACAGACTGGCACACTAACTACTAGGCCAGCTCCGGCTCTTAAAATTACTGTTTTCTAATTTGGCACAGAAACTTTCATTATACAAAGTTTTATAATTTTGTAGTCCTACTAATGTCGAAGTACATCATAAGACACATTCACTGAAATAGGGACTGTGTCCCTACAGGGAATAAACAGAAAAAAAATACGCTCTTGTCAAATATCTTTTGTAAATTTCGTATCCTAAAACAGGATTTCTTAATCTGTGCCCCCACTAGTTTGTTTTCAGTTTTCAGGAGACTGCATCTCAACTGGTTAATCATATACAAAATTGTAATGGTTTTGTGCTGAGATCTTTGAAGATGCAATATCTGCATACTTATGTGGATACTGAAAATCCAGCGTATGAGATCTCATAAAGTTTCAGTTATTTTCCATATTTTCCACTTTAAATATTTAATATTCACATTATTCGACACAGAAATAAGGATGTGAGAGACTACATTTTTATTAAGGGACAGAATATTATCAGTTATAGCGTTACTCTACAATAGTAAATTTAAAGGATATGTTCTTTAATAGTTTCGTAGCCCATGACTCATTCAGTTATGAAATATGCCATCAATATTTTGAAGATTAAGATGTGTACATCCAATAATGGTATTTTCTCCTAAGAAAAAAAAAGTATTCCTTGGTGCATTTTTAATACAAAAATCTACAAAATTAAAATTAATATATCAGAAACGAGGCTTCAAATTACACTGGAAGGTAGAATATCTAACGAAATTATACTTCTATATAGCGCTGTTACTATACGCTTTATTATGATGCTCTGCATTTAGTCCTAGCTGTAAATTTTACTTCTCACTAATATTACACTTTAATATGATCAACAAAACAAGAACAATATTTTGAACATTATGCTTAGAGGACAAATGCAAACCAAATGGATAATAGTAACTATTTTCTATCATCTAAGAATCTCTAATACTTTTATCCTAAATTATGATATGTAATATTATATATATATATATATAGTATTTATCTTATCCGTTAGACATGACCACATAATTCAGCACATAACACGCCGCCTTTAACTCGTTGGTGTAAATGGCAGTTTAACAAGAAATAACATATATAAACCGCTTATTCCCAGTCATGTCCAGTTTCACGGTAGATATAAATATCAAATACATCTGTTAGTTATCACAACTGACCATTACATTCCACAAAGCGTGAAAGTGGCCAATCTTACTATAATGAATACATAGAAAATTTCACACTTTGCGTATTCAAGATTCAGACAATTGAAAAAACAACTGTAGTATGTGCAACAACCATTTCTTTATAATAAAACACAAATGTAGAACTGGTCGACCACACAAAAGTATTAGGTATTAATAGTTGAATCAGGTTAAAACACATATAATACGTTATTAATATTGGAAAATATCATGTCAATATATGTAGATATGCTAACCTACTGAATAATACAGTTCATCGTATTCATACGACTGATCAGTAAGCCCTCTGCCTAATTCATGATGTAAGCTATATAAACACACATTTGACAAAACTGGTGAGGACACCTCGTGCCAACTTTGATGTCTCAATAGACAATTCACATGATATAATAATTGATTCTATGCGTGATTTTGGCTTCATAGGATCTGTAGCATTGATGCTTAAAGTCTCAAAGTAGTCATTATTTTTCATATTAATTGTAGGTTACAAATAATCCAGAAAATGGAAGTCATGGAAGGGTCATTATAATTTCAAAATTCATACCTTGTTCACGTGGAAGAGGAGTAGCTAGATAGCATCTTGTTAAAACTGCCAGTAAAAAAAACTCAGTCAGCATCGTGATTCTCATCCTGTTCTGGAGAATATAAGATATTGGTACATAAACAACAAAACACTCATGTGTAAACTTAACATGATATACAAGTAATGCTTATTTCTTGCCATTTGGTTTCAAATGCTACACATAAAGAGTTCATTTTTAACCAACTGATTGTTGATGACACATTTTGAAATGCTATTCTTACACGCATATGGTTCGAAATTCATACCAACTAATTAAGAAAAACGTGAGAAAAACCACATCTGAAACAAGACCTAAATGCTTTTTTGCTTCACCAGCTTAGGCGTTTTACACCACTGTTTTTAATTTCTTCTTTTGCAAATCAACAGCTATCTGATCTATTTTTTGTCGCAATAAGTTCATCCCAGCTGTTGAATACTGAGATTGAAAGAAAAGCTCTGAATATTGACTTTTGGCACATAGGAAATTTTTACACGCCTTTGATTTGGAACCTATAATGAACAGATTAAGATAAATGATAGAAAAGATCTGTGTCTAACTTGCGCTTCACTGATTTTTTTAATTTGGGGATAGTATTTCTTTCTCTCTCTGTACTTTAAGTTGAATAAAATTTGATATTTATCACTGCCTGAGTGTTTAGTTTGATATTCTGACATACAGTAAAAATCACTTTTATTTTTTATATATCAAAACAACTTAAACTATCAATTTGCTATTTTTACTCTTTCTATGTATAATTTTATTGACCTCTCTTAATTTTGTCTACGAAGAACTAATGACTAAACGTTTAATATCATCTTATTCACTTGTGTCTTACTTAACTCGGTTATTTTATGTGTATATTTTACGAACTATATAACACTCAGAGTAACTTGACTAAAGTAAAAAGGGCCAATAATAAAGCTGACTTACCAGGCAGTGGGTTCCTGTAGATCACACTTTTCCGACGAACAAGATATTGATGCAAGGAAGTTCAGTCTGAACCTTTCTCTATTAAGCATGAATATAGGTGTTCTTTATTGGTGACGACATTCTTTGCTGACGCAAGTAGAAGACAAGTTCATTGTGGAATAGAGGTAGGAAGAGTATGTTCTTTGTGTGGGTGGATGATACAGCGAGAGAAGCCACTCGATCGATAAAGAATCGAACTATGCAGCTATCTCAGTATGTGTATGTGTTGACTTCACGTTATTGAAATTACAGAAGTCTTTGTAATAAAGTTTTAATATTTAATTGTATATGATGATTCTATTTTTTTAGATACAAATGTAGTGAACAATAGCATAGAATATTGATTCAATGTCAAAAAATTGTACCTGGCTGAATTCATTATGTCGTGACAGTGAATGTGAAAGATTTTAACTTAAAAGCATCAAAATAACAAACCCGTACTCATATAGGCATAGTAATTAAAATATTCACACATAAAATTATTTTCAAACAAGAAAACAAATAAAACAAGTGTGCGAACTTCGTTCAAAAGGTAGATTAGGTACTTTTATTTCTATGTTTGTACTGTGCCATAATAATACGTGAACTTTATAGCTCTGTGGTATTCTCAGTTAAAGTTGGCCAAAAAAGTTAATAACGACCACATTAACAAAGGGGCAAAGGATATATACGGAGAGCGTGAATAGGTCAAAGGAGATCAAAGAAATAAAAACCAGACACAGTTATTCCACTTTAAAATAAAAACATTTTGTTTTTACCAAGAAGAAACAACAACAAACAAAGATTCCTGGTGGTCGGCTTCTTCGTAGTAGTAATAAGAAAAGCACGAGGTAAAACTGTGTTCAAGTCTACCAGTAAGTTCTCAGAGCTTTACGTCAGGAGGCCATTCTTATCTATTATAAAGCAGCTTGTGGTAGTGTATTTGTTAGTCTGTCTCTAATGGACACTA